TGTTTAATGTAAAATGTGTAATGTAAAATGTGTAATGTAAAATGTGTAATATATAATGTGTAATGTATAATGTTTAATGTAAAATGTGTAATGTAAAATGTGTAATGTAAAATGTGTAATATATAATGTGTAATGTATAATGTTTAATGTAAAATGTGTAATGTAAAATGTGTAATGTAAAATGTGTAATATATAATGTGTAATGTAAAATGTGTAATGTATAATGTGTAATGTATAATGTGTAATGTAAAATGTGTAATGTAAAATGTGTAATGTAAAATGTGTAATGTAATATGCGCTCTATAAACTGTTACTCAGGTGCGTGACAGACCACACTTCCAGCCTCTTCAGTTACCTGTACCTGTGTGAGCAGAATACACACATACCTTCCTGAGTAGGTGGGGGGAGGGATACTCTGCCAGGATAGCAGCAGCTACATCTGGACTGACTCTGCTGAGCTGTTGGATCTGCCTCTTCCACACCTGCAGCAGACCTTTACCACCTTTCTCCACCCGCTGGCCCCCCGCCCACTCACTCTCCAGGTAGAAGGAGAAGCCCGTCTTCTCTCGCTCTCTCCTGAACACAGAGGATTGTGGGCAACAAGTCTGCTTTGACAGACGTCATGTTCATCAACATCTCAGGCCGCTCACTTGTATGGTGCCTCTGCAACTGCTTTTGTTGTCATTGTGATGTAATCTGAGAACTCTTTCCATGTTGATAAGAACTGGACCGAGACGTTCGAGTGAAGCTGGAGATGCACCAATGCCTGAGGGGATCGGAGGGGGGAAATTAAAGATCTCAATAAACTTCATTTTCACTCCTAAAACAAAACTAAGTTTTTTACAACCAGTATGATTGACATTTTATGAATAAAACTAAACAAAGTAGCAAACGCCTGATGGTTTTACTTTTCTTCTGAAAATTGTACTGCTCAGGATGGGAACCTGTAACCCAGAGAAGATTCAACACATTCTGCTGACCAATAACCTTTACTAACAGCATTTTATCATGTATGTGAATGTTCTTGTACAGTGCCCTGAGATCATTTTAGTTGTGTATTGTCACTATAGAAATAAACCAAATGAAATGAAATGAGAAAATGTGTTACTGTACAACACCTACCTCCTCTACATCAACTCTGGAAACCTCAGGTAACCCCTCAGCTCCAGCTTTCCTGCCTTTCTTTCCCCTGGTTTCCTCTCCAACGACAGCCTCTCTGAACTTCTTCTGGCTGTGAGACTTCTTCACTCTGGAAACAAAAGAAGTGCTGTAGTTCTCCCACGCACACATTAACACGTACCAACATGGTCCTGTTCCAGTTTCACAGCAGACGTTCTGACCTAAAACTGTTGGGAACACACAACAAACTCTGAAGTGGTCAAAACCAAGTGTCCACCTGGATCTAACTAAGCTCTATGGTGGGGTGTCAGGTGGTCAGGTCTAGGTTCAGGTGCTCAAAGAATGAGGCCAGCTGTCTAACCTACTGAAAGACCAGGTTATTCCATCAATGCCAGGATTCATGGGGCTCTTATTGTGAAAGAGTGGTTCAGGCTCTTATTGCGAAAGAGTGGTTCAGGGAGCATGAGACATCATTTCCACACATGGACTGGCTCCACAGAGTCCAGTCTTTGGGATGTGCTGGAGAAGGTCAGACTCTACCATCAGCTTGGTGAAAAATTAATGAAACACTGGTTACCTCCGCCAAGGAGGTAATGTTTTTGGTCACGTATGTCTGTCTGTGGACAACATTACTCAAAAACTTATGGACTGATTGTCATGCTATTTTTTTACCACATGTGTGTACTGGGCCAAGGAACAAACCATTTCATTTTGGTGATGTTCCTGATCACGATGCGGATACAGGAAATTTTTTCTTTTAACACTCTGAGATCTGTCTCTTTTTGATGCTTTCACAGGGCTTCTGTAAAAAACAGTGAGCTGGATTGGACAGCACGGACTTCAAACTTTATAAAAGTAATGTTAAAACCACATTTAATGATGAATAATTTTTACCATAATATGCACATTTACAGAACGTTTTGTGACCAGGAAGTGTGTGACTGCACCATGAAACCTATTTTTCCCATTTCCTCAAACACACCACATTTTCTAAGCAACCAATGAAAACAGTTTGTCTCTACTAGGCTTGTAAACAGAGAGCTGCCGGGCCTCAAAGTTTGGAGACGGGGGGAGCCAGGAAGCACTTTATAAAGAGAGTCAAACCATTACAAACTCATACAAGGAGATAAAACAGACGTTTTACATGGTGAAATGTGACTGATGAAAACTTAGGAGCTTAATCCCACACCAGTTTGACCATGAATAATGTCAGGTGACCAGTCTGACTTTTTTTTCCACATTGGACTCCACAGAGAAGAAACCCCATCATACTGCTGCTTAAATGTTCACTACGTCAGAACTTATTCAGTAAATGTGTTTCCATCTCTGCTTTTGTGCATTAACTCTTACAGGATGGAGGAAATTGGTCTTGGTGGAGGTTTGCACTCTCCGAGTGCTTCTAGTTGGAAATAAATCTGGTCACATTGCAGAAGCTTATCCAAACAATGCCACAGAGAATGTGTGACAGAATCAAAGCTAAAGGTCCAGCACAATGTTAGTGTGTGACTTTTTTATTTGGTGGTGATTTGTTTTGTCCCAGCAGAGTAAATGAAGGTGAAAATTCAAACTGGAAGACTTCTAATCAGCCTTACCTGCATCATCCTGTATCATGAGCTCTGGTCCAGTCTATCAGCATCCAACCTTGGCTCCATCTAAGTCTGAGCTGTCTGGGTTCTGAAGTTTAAAGTCCTTTGAGTGGTTCAACAACCATTTCTCTGAGACGGTCTATCCTCAGAGCTCAGGCTTGACTAACATGTGGACCTACATGGTGTGTATGTGGACTGTCTTCACCTGGTGACAGCTGTCATTCAGTCCGCAGTTACTGAGTTCCTGCAGCTCTGCTCCTACCTGGTTGACCTCCACTTCTAACTTGTCACCTCCATCCAGACATTACTGTTGTTGTAAGCATTCAGTCCCTGACTGGTCAGGGTCATCTTTGCTCAGGAGCTCCTCTCTGAGTTGGATTTCCTTTGACTGAAACCCGTTAGCATCCTAACTCCACTCCACTGGAGTTAAACATGTGTCGGCCTCGAGACTCAAGGAGGGGTAGAGGTGTTACAGTGGTTCACTGGAAGCAGGGGGAAGTCCTCCCTGTCTCTGTCCCACTCTTCAACTCCCATGAATACATCTCAGCTCCCTGATCTACTCCAACACAGTGTTTTAGCTTCTTTTAGAAAGGAAAGCTTTTAATTTTTTTTAAATTTCACAAATGAAACCAAACTGAGTTTCATTTGATGTGATGCTCAGAGTCTGTGTTGTGAATGACTGTCAGCTACTACCAGCCTGACGTTTATCCCAGTATCAGTAAAACTGGCTGATGTCAAGATGTTTGTAGGGTCAGCTCATTGTGTTGGGCTCATCAGTGAGAGACCGTTTCAAATGTCTGTGAGATATTTTGCTAACACACAAATATACACATGTCAGTGTAATTGGATGAATAAAAACGTGTTTGTGCCCAGACATATTCAGAATGACTCGATTTATCACCTGAAATATTTCTCCAGCTCCATGACTGCCAGACTGAGGGTTTTGTTGGGGTGTGTCCTCTGCTGCTGCTGGATCCAGGTGGTCAGGGTGGGACCACAGTCTGACCTGCCATGCCTTGCTTCCTGGAAGACAGGGAAAAGCAAGATTTTTTTAAGTACTTTTATTTTAATTGTAAGTTTTCAAACCAAAAAACAAAGTCAACGGAGGAGAGGGAGTAGTTTACACTCAATAATTAGAACGAACAACCAGCAAATATTTATTTAAAACATTCGTTATAATATCCCAACACTGACTGTGTCCAAATGAGTTATTATTCATCGGAGTCCTCAAAACAAATCCACTTCCTCCTTTTTTTAACTGTAATCATATTTTCTGAACCTCACAGTGTTTACAGTGTAGGTTAGTTGTTTCATCTGATGTATGTCCTGTATTCTGCTGGTCCAGTTGGTCCGGTGCTGAAGGTTTGAGCCACAGTCTTTTTCTGGCTTTCCTTGCTGCAGTTAATAGGATCTTAACAACATATTGGTCCTCACCCTGTACTACTTTGGTTCTGTTTCCCAAAAACATCACAGTACTTTGTTTTGGGACACTGTATCCCAGTACCTTCTGTATTACTGTGCTAACAAGAGTCCAGAAAGGCTGAATAAGACGACACGACTGAACATATGAGAGAGATGAGCTTCAACACTGACACATCCTCTCCAACATGTAGTTGTTCACTCTTCACATGTGGAGTGATAAAAACCTAATGACATGTTTCCAGTTGAATTCTCTCCAACATGTAGAGTTTGTAGAGTTATGTAATAAGCAGCAGGTTTGGTACCATTCCTCTTCTGTTATTACAATATTCAGTTTTCATTCCCATTTTTTTTACATTAAAGTGATGTATTCTTTAGGTTATGCATTAGGCTCTGGTAGAGTTTTATCTTTTTGTTCTTTTGTTGGTAAGATCCACATATTGTTTCAATTATTACCTCTGCCAAGGGCGAGGAGGTAATATTTTCAGTCGTGTCTGTCTGCCTGTCGTTCTGTCTGTGGACAACATTACTCAAAAACGTGTGGACTGATTGTCATGACATTTTTACCACATGTGGGTACTGGGCCAAGGAACACACCTTTAAATTTTGGTGATGTTCCTGATCACGATGCGAATACAGGATTTTTTTTTCTTTTAACACTCTGAGATCGGCAAAGCTGTGATGCTTTCACAGGGCTTCTGTAAAAGACAGTGAGCTGGATTGGACAGCACGGACTTCAAACTTTATAAAAGTAATGCTAAAACCACATATAATGATGAATAATTTTTTACCATAATATGCACATTTACAGAACGTTTTGTGACCAGGAAGTGCGTGACTGCACCATGAAACCTATTTTTCCCATTTCCTTGTAGGGGTCACCTCGAGTGAAGAAACAGGAGTTACTGCCTCAAAGCAGGTCTCGCACAGGCCTGAAAGAAGGCAGGAACGCTGAACTCTTATTTTAGGCCACGATGGGTCATTTTAACCTACACGAGGACTTCAGTTCTCTCTAATCAGATATTAAACAGAAACAATCTGTTCTGTTCATGATTCATTGGTTGTTTAACTAAGAATGTTTAAGCATTTGTTAATCATAATGATGACTGTCACAAAGAAAGAAAGTATCACTTCTATTCTTTTATCGTGCCTAAAACARATTAATGAAGCACAGAAATCATCACCATGTTTTCATTGTGTTTTTATAAATCACTGTTTTATTTTACTGAAACATCAGTAATATAATTTTGAGTTTTCTTAAGAAAATCTTACATTTATATGGACACAAGTTCAGACTGATTATTTAAACAGAGTGTTAATTAATCATGATAAATGTTCACAGTGGTTTCTTTTAGGGGTGTCCCGATACCAGTTTTTTCAAGACTGAGTACAAA